GCCTCTCCAATCCTCGCCCACTTCGATGATACTGCCGAAACTGAAGTTCACACTGATGCGAGTAACGTCGGCCTCGGAGCCATTTTAGTCCAGCGGCAAAACGGCCAAGAAAAAGTGCTAGCGTATGCCAGCCGCAAGCTTTCGAAAGCTGAGACAAATTACTCTGCAACCGAAAAAGAGTGTCTCGCGGTCATTTGGGCCATAAGTAAATTTCGGCCGTACCTCTACGGTAGACCATTCCGAGAAGTAAGTGACCACCATTGCCTGTGTTGGCTGGCGAATCTTAAGGATCCCTCTGGCCGACTAGCAAGATGGAGCCTTAGGCTACAAGAGTACGATGTTACTGTGGTATACAAATCTGGGAAAAAGCACAGCGATGCCGACTGCCTGTCACGCGCACCAGTGGAGACGAGTGAGCCGGAGGAAGAAGACTTCCCGTTTCTAGGCGTCGTCCAGACATCAGAAATCGCTGAACAACAACAAAATGGCCCCGATTTGCTGCCGCTTATACAGCATCTCCAAGGACTCAACGTTAAAGTCCCGCGCACTTTATCCAGGGGGCTCCCTTCGTTCTGTCTTCGGGAAGGGGTCCTTTACAAGAGGAACTTCAAGCCTCACGGTGACAAGTTTTTACTCGTTGTACCTGCACCTTTACGAAACGAGATTCTGCACGCATGTCATGATGAGCCAACATCTGGGCACATGGGTGTCAGCCGTACATTCGCCAGAATTCACCTGAAATACTACTGGCCAAAACTGTTATCATCAGTTCAGCGCTATGTGAAAACTTGCCGTGAGTGTCAAAGACGCAAAACTCCATCCGTGAAACCTGCAGGCCTCCTCCAGCCAATAGAACCACCCCATGCCCCATTCCAACAAGTTGGTATGGATCTCCTAGGCCCGTTTCCGACATCGACTGCACACAAGAAGTGGATAGTCGTAGCCACAGACTATCTCACTCGCTATGCTGAGACTGACTCGCTGTACACTGCAACATCTCTTGAAGTTGCCAAGTTCTTCATCAACAACATAGTCCTCAGACATGGTGCACCCAGCGTGGGTAATTACAGATCGTGGCCCAGCTTTTACTGCAGACCTAATGAAATGTCTGATGCGAATGACCCACACAGACCAGAGAAGAACTACAGCATACCATCCTCAAACAAATGGCCTAACGGAGCGCTTGAACAGAACTCTGACTGATATGCTTTCAATGTATATCGACGTCGAACATAAACTGTGGATGAAATATTGTCCTACATCACGTTCGCATATAATACAGCCGTTCAAGAAACAACGTGAGTGACACCATTTGAACTTGTATTCGGCCGAAGAGTCACCACTCCACTGGATGCAATGTTACAACTGAATGATGAAAGCAGCAATCCACCTGGCCTAGACGACTTCCTGCAAAGAGCCGAGGAAGCACGACAGATGGCGAGATACAGAATACGCCGCCAACAACGTATCGACTCCTATCGGTACAATCAGCGTCGTACCGAAGCGCATTTTAAACCAGGTGACAAAGTATGGATATGGACCCCAGTGCGTCGCCGCGGACTTTCTGAAAAACTTTTTAGCCACTACTTCGGGCCTTACGAAGTACTCCATCGTGTAAGCGATGTAACTTACCAAGTCAGATCCGCGATACACGGGAGCTCAAAACGCTGCAACCCTACAGAGGTTGTACATGTAGTCCGGATGAAGCCGTACTATGAGAGATCACCGGAAGACCAGTGACGCCTACGCCTACCACGAATCTATTCATTGCCTGACGCATCGGGACGATGCGTGTGAGGAGGGGGATTATGCCACGACATAGTGCCTGCATTCAAACAACGCGCCCATCACCACGCGCACAGAGGCATACATGGGCGCCGTCTAGTGTTGCGCGGAGACGATGATGATAGCACGAGAACCCAGCTTGCCCCTGCTGATGTGTGCCACGCGCTTGGGACTCTTCTTGAAGAAGTAGAAGAAGAAGACATCTTGCCGTTCTGCTGTAACGTGCTACGACCATAGTCCCTTTGAGTTGTGGGCACAGGTTCGCCCTTTAATAAATACGTTTTATTATACCCCGAGTCCTTCAACATCGTTACAATATGATTATGAGAGACGCGGTAGTGGAGGGCTCTGGAAATTTCGACCGCCTGGGGTTCTTTAACATGCGCCCAAATCTGAGCACACGGGCCTACAACATTTCTGCCTCCGTCGGAAATGCAGCCGCCGCAGCCGGGATTCGATCCCGCGATCTGCGGGTCAGCAGCCGAGTACCTTAGCCACTAGACCACCGTGGCGGGGCTCGGCAGCATTGACCTGACGAATGTAAAGTATATATGTTATAGTCCCAGACGGAATTGAACCCAAGCATTCTGTGTGGCAATCAAGTATTTTACCACAGAGCCACACCAGGTCTCAAAATTGCTTTGGAAAAAGACCCTATATATGTAGACTGTATGTTGGTGAAACGTCAATAGTAGTTACAGACCTGGCTTTCTAATTCCATTACATTACAAGTGTACTCTTATGACAGAGGTGGACAGAGGCGTGATGTTGGGCTAAAGTAAATTGTATACTTAAGCGTCATCCACTGAAGTTGATATAAGTAGCACTAGCCAGGGCTGTCGTTCTCGAAAGCAGAAGCGCTACATATCAGCTTACCGCTTCCAATTTTGGTAATACCGATGTCGCTGTTGGCATCGTTACGCAACTGTAAACCGGTTGCATAAAATATATGTGACTGTTCAACATATTTGTGCGTAGAGCATTTGTACATATCGGCATTATTTAACGTTTCATTCAATTAAAATTGCAACACAGTGCCATTCCCTTCGCATGTTCCGCATAATATCGATTCCCATGGTACATGGGATTTGCCGAACTTTTTACTCTCATTCTTTGCATTCGTCGGGTAAATGCGGGTTGCCGCATTTCTTTGACGCTCTTCCATTTAAATATCCTGGGTAGATATAAACTGCAAATCCTCTGTGTGGCATACCCGCATGCCATGCCCGTGGTATAAAGGTATAATGACATATGTTGCGCAAAGTAGCGCTGCAAGGGGGACACTCACGAAGGCGAAAAAAAAAAAACAGCCAAAGCTTGTGGGTGCAAACCATCAACTGTTAATATTTCGAAGTGGGGTGGCCCCACTTCGGGCCACCTCACCGAAGAAGGAAAGGGTACGAGTAAAGGAGTGAAAGTGTAAAGAAAACAAAAGTGAAACAAAATTGGACCCGTGTCTGCATGTTACACCGCAAATGTCGTTGAAAGACGATAGTCTTGCGTCTGGAGATAAGGAACAAAACGTTTGTTTGATGTTTTGCACGATAAAATCGGTGAATGGTATTCTGGAGGCTTAGCGTTAGAGTGCCTTTAGCGTGAAGCGGAGGTGAACGAGCGCATCAAGTCACGTCACGCGTGAGAAATGAGCGCTATAAGCAGTTATCCTAGAAAACGACCCACCATGGTGGTCTAGAGGCTAAGGTACTCGGCTGCTGACCCGCAGGTCGCGGGATCGAATCCCGGCTGCGGCGGCTGCATTTCCGATGGAGGCGGAAATTCTGTAGGCTCGTGTGCTCAGATTTCGGTGAACGTTAAAAAAACCCAGGTGGTCTAAATTTCTGGAGCCCTCCACTACGGCGTCTCTCATAATCATATGGTGGTTTTGGGACGTCAAACCCTATATATCAATCAATCGTTCAATCAATCAATCAATTGTCCTGGAAAATGGGGCGTGCGCCATGTGTGCCCGTCTCTGAGATGATAAGGTGTAGAGCGCTAGCTGACGGGTAGGTGCCACCACCGTATCGTCTTAGCAAAGCATTGGAAACACTTGCCGTTTCGTGCAAGCGATGCATGGCCAGCGCAGCGTTATAAAGGCTAAGATGCCTAAAATTACCTAAGTATGCCTTTTCTAGTAAAAAAATACACATACATAATACTGACGTGCTGTCATGGTGCCTCAGATAACCAAAATAATTGTTCTTTAATTGAAAATCGCCCAAGTATGAACGCTGAACCTTGAGCAATATTCATATTAAAAGAAAAGCGGCGCACAAAAAGACGGAGACAAAGAAGAGAACCACACACAGCGCCGTGGCAGCGCTGTGTGTGGTTCTCTTCTTTGTCTCCGTCTTTTTGTGCGCCGCTTTTCTTTTAATATGAATATACACCAACTCGCCCAACTTTCTATTCTGTTGAGCAATATTGGTGGGTGCTGCGGATAGGGTCGGCCGTTTGGAGTATCGTTTGGTCATTTTGGTGCCGTTTTGAGAACCGTCAAGGGTGGACAAACAGACAGACCAAAAGTTTTGCGTGGAAGGTCCCCAAGAAAGACTATCGTCTGTAAAACAGATTAGACACGTGAAACAGCAATCAAGCCAATGTTGCGCATGTCGACGCTGCGCAGTGTTTTTCAGCTGCCCCCGAGGCAGTAAATTTTGTGAAAAGTACTTTTTAACGCTATCACGTAAAAAAAATGGGAAAGCGCGTGATTAGGTATTCCAACCTGCGCCCCTCACTGCGAAGCGAGCTGCCTTAGACAGTTACGCCATGCGTCACTCATTATCAGGATACTAACGATAGAATACAAGCGCACGTGTCGTAAGGTGAAACTCGCAGGACGCCATACGGGATGAAATGAGAATAACGAAGAGCGTGGGTCATGCTACATCTTTGCCCGCGCCGTGTTTGCGTCGTATCGCTGGCAATCCAGGCTAGTTTTCTATAATTGGGTTGTAACGCCCCTCCACTCGCGGCCAGGCGAGGTGGCCAAAGAAATAGTAGGGCACCCCGTGACTCGTGGCAGCGCGAGCTAGTGAAAGAGAGAGAGATAGAGGTTCAGGAAAAGAAAAGATGCAACTTTTGCAGCCCTCATTGGGAGCACGGCTCAGCGCCTGTAAGGCGGGGTGGGGGTGGAAAAGAGAGCATTAAAGATGCGGAGAAGAGAGAAGAAGAAAAGAAATGGCGTCCAAGACCAAGGATGTGGCGGGTGGCTTCTATAGCCGGTTGTCTAGTCCAGTGTCCTCAAGGAAGCAAAGAACCACCTCGAAGACCTGGGTGTGGTGCCATGCAGGAAAAAGAAGGTCCCTATGTGTGGCCACGGGCAGACCATGGCGACGGAGTGCGGCGAGCAAGACGCCGCGTTCTGTGCGAAGCGCTGGGCAAACACGCAACAGGTGCACGTTGGTTTCATCTGCCCAGCAAGCAGTGCACGCAGGGTACGAGGCTCTGCCAAGCCGATGACGCCGGGCGGCAGGCCAGGAGTAGCCGATGCGTAAGCGAAGTAGCAAGGACCTCTCCCTCCTGGTGGAACCCCGGTCAGGCAGCCGGGTCGGTGGCTCTATCCTTGCTACACGATCGTCAGGGTGGCAGCGTAGCAACAGCCTCCTCAATGTGATTCTCAAAAGGTCTGAGGCGACCACGGTATGGCACACAGGGACGGTGGAGTGATGTGCTTCTTTTGCCAGGGCGTCAGCCTGCTTGTTTCCCTGGATTCCCACATGAGGAAGGACCCAGTGCAGAGAAACATCAACGACACTGGCAAGGAGGACATGCAGTTTGGTGACGAGCATCTGCGTTGCGAAGCCTGCTCGCTCCGGCTTAGCCAAGGCCAGCAACGCAGCTCTTGAGTCGCACGTGACCGCCACGGAGCACGTTGGGGGGTTTGCTGCTAGCAGGACAACTGCCAGGTGGAGACCAGCCGTCTCTGCAGCAGTAGAGCAGGCCCCAAAAGGCAGACAGCAGGAGGCCGTCCAACCAAGTGCTGGCATAATGCAGGAAGCTGTGGCCGAGCCTGTGTCTGGGATGACAGAGCCGTTTGTGTACGCCATAAGCCTTCCAGCCAGCTCTTCCTCTATCTTCGAGGCAGATGCCTGCTTGAGTGCGCAAATGGGTGAGCGACGCTTGGAGAGCCCTCCCAGACCAATGTTGATAGCCAGTAGTTTTTCTGTTGGCGGGGGAAGAGGGAGAGCTGGAGGCACCGGTCCCACAGCTGCTTGATAGATCTGCAGCAGCTCGCCCATCCGAGGTTCTGGTCGACTTTGCAGCTGGGCAAGAAGGGGGTACCCATCAGGCGCATGTGCTAGCCGATCAATGTGTAGAAGCCCATGCTGCTTCAGGAGCAGACAGAGAGGCCAGATACCCGCCTCTGCCAGGGTGGCTGCGACTTGAGAGGACCGCGGCAGGCCGAGGACACAGCGAATGAAGCCCCTATGCGGTAACTCGAGGCGCTCTAAAAGCCACCGAGTAACTGATACCACGGGAAATTCGTACAGCAGCCATGATGTTGCTGCTGCTGTGTAAAGACGAAAAGCCCAGGATGGTGAGCTGCCGCGGCCACTTAAGAAGATGCCCTTCACCGCCTTCTGGGTTCTCTTCACCATGCATATGGCTTCCTTGAATATTGGAGTCCAGGACAGCCGATGGTCGATGCGAAGCCCGAGATGGGTCACCGAACTCTCGCACGGTATTGTGGTGCCCTCGATGGTCAGACAGGCCACTCTACTCCGTATTCTTTGTCTGGGGAGCACAAGAAGTGCCTTCGTTGTGGCCAGAGAGACAGCCAGACCTGCAGATGCAACATGGCCGACTTCAGCATTCAGTGCATTCTGCAGGCAAGATCGGACAGTTCACAAATTCCTGGTAAGGGCCCCAATTCCACAAGGCGACGTCGTCAGCGTATATGAAACATTGGACTTGGTAGCGCTTGCCGGAAGGAATGACTTCTGGCAGGCGTGCCAATGCGATGTTAAATAAGAAAGGACTCCGTACAGAACCTTGTGGCTCCCCTGTCGGTACCGGTCGTGGAGAGCTGAGCGCGTGGGTGACTCTCACGCGGAAAAATCGGCCCGACAGAAAGCCCTGTACAAAGCACAGCATGCAACCCTGCACACCCAGGGCTGCTAGTGCCTGCATGACTGCCAGGTGCGCCAGGCCATCAAAGGCATTCCGCACGTCCAAGAGCACTAAAAAGGCTGCCTCTTGCCTGCTTCTTGCATGCTCAAGTGCCGAGACGACGTCAATAAGCAAATATGCTGTGCAGCGGTGGTGCCGGAATCCACTCTGCTGCTCGAGAAAGTAGTCCAGTGCCCTAGCAATCCACTCTAGGCGGGCCAAGACCACTGCTTCCATCACCTTGCAAGCGGATGAGGTAAGAGAGACAGGCCTGTACGATGAAGGGGTCAACGCTGGCTTACGCGATTTTAAGATCTGTATGATGATTGCAGTAATCCAGGACTCTGGTAGCTGTCCGCTGTTCCAGACTTCATTGAAGTAGTCAAGCAGCTGGGCCTTCTCCCTGTCTGTCAGGTTGCGGAGCATCTGAAACGTAATTATATCCGCTCCCGGTGCGCTTCGCTGCTTCGAGCGGTTGAGAGACGCGGTCAGTTCATGGGGCAGGAATGATTCGTTGCACAGGGCTACCACTCTCTCAATGGTAAAGGCAGGTTGGTGTAGGTGGGGTACACATACTGGTCTATCAAAGAGCCGGGCCTCTGCTGCTAGTCCTGGTGGTCTCGTTGCACATTGACTCGCCATGAGGTCCGCCAGAGTGAGCTCCGTGAGATCCAGAGAGATGGCCACGGCCAGTATAGGCTGACGGATGGCTTGCCCGCGCTGCAGTGGTCGCAAAAGCTGCCATGCAGTTGAACTGCGTCGAGAGCTGGAGATGGTACTGCTGACACCCTACCAGCTTCGCTTCCATCGACGGTTTGTGTGGCGTCTACAGATGGCGTCCAGCCGCCTGAAAGCTGTCCAATCTTCTGCCGTGGAACTGCGGATGGCATGGTGCTCGGCCCTTCTTCGCGTGGCCCACAACTGTAGCTGCTTGAGGTCAGGAACGGGACGTCCGGGTTTGGTTCTCGATACGACGGTAGCCGCATTAGCACTGTCGATTACATGCTGCAGGAAGTCTTCCTCCGCAGGCATTGCACTGAGTCGTCGAAATAAGCTGCAATTGACCGTAGAGCAAACTCGGCTCCTGGGGAGGGAGCAGTGTTGGTGTTCAGGAAAATCGGAAAGTGATGTGATCTTCAGGTGTCTGGACTGATCGACTAGGTGCACGCACAATGTTTTGTTGCGACACTAATGTCCTTAGTAGTACGCATGCCGCTGCGCACAAAGGCGGGCTCCCCAGGGTTCAAAATCTTGAGGCCTGCTCAAAGGGTGACATCCGCAGTGGCTCAGCTCCGAGCACAACAGCTGTCTCCACCCCAGGCAGTATGGTGACCGTCCAAGTCCCCGCAGAGGAGAAAATTACGGCCCAGGTGAGCTAGTGGGAATGGTTTGACTCTTGAAAGTTTATGTCACAGCAGGGAAGAAATGAAATGAATGAACCAGAATCACAATATATGTATACGTTACACAATGACCACAATTGACACCAGCAGGAGACGCAAGCCATGGATTCACGTGCGCCTGCCAAGCGCCGTCTTCATTTCCTTCTCTTGAGGTGGCACACTCTCAGCCTTCGTTCATCGCTCAAAGGAGGGAACTGAGGGGAAAATGCGAGTAAAATGACTTTAAATGCTGATTGATATGTGGGGTTTAACGTCTAAAAATTGCCATATGATTATGAGACACCATAGTGTAGGGCTCCGGAAATTTCGACCACCTGGGGTTCTTTAGAGTGCATCCAAATCCGAGCACACGGGCCTAGAACATTTCCGCCTCCATCGAAAATGCAGCCGCCGCTACCGGCATTCGATCCCGCCACCTGCGGGTCAGCAGCCGACTACTTTAGCCACTAGACCACCACGGCGGGGCGACTTTAAATGCGAGCGCAATAGTCTGAGAGTGTCGCATAGAGCGCATGTGCTATGGTGACTCGCAAATTTTTTGGGTTCTCTAGCCTCTTTGTTGCTATAAATTCGTTGCTATCCCATTCGTTGATTTATGATCGTGTTCGTCATACACTCGTAGCCTACCGGGTATGCCAATTTGGTCAATACCAGGTTAAGGTGGCGACAACGACAGAGCCCAGACGTAGGCGGATAGATAGACAGATAGACAGATAGATATAAACGTTTTAAGAGCCTTTGGTTCACTTAGAAGTGCTTCGCTTTAATAAATAGTGTAAACATGCACGCTATGTGGTGAGAATATAACCGAAATGATCAACCTGTTCACGTGAGAGTGACCGACCAGTTCTTGGTGTGCCGTCTTAGCTGGGCTTTGGCAGCCTTAAGAAGTGGAAATTTCTGTCCGCAGCGTCCTTCGTGGTCGTCCTGTTCGGCGTGAAACGCTATGAGGCCCAGTGTCTGCGCAGCGCGTTGAAACAGCCGCGTCGAATTCGGCCCCAGCATCGAGAACCAGTGACTGCCTCGGCGGACCTGCAGGCAGTCGGTCACGTTGGAGTAAGTTGAGATGGCGTCGAGTTCGCTTTGCACGACGCAGAGGGACCCGTACGACGTGGTGCCCACACGTTTGACTCTGTGGCCCTGGACCTTGTAGTGGTAGCCGCGGAAGGAAGCTGTCACCATGGTCCTGTCCAGGCAATCGCGGCCGAAGCTGGCTTCGTTGAACACTGCGTACTCGGAGAGTTCGGTGTCGAAGGACCAGGTGGCCTGGCCGCCACTCCTGTACTGCGCTGGGCAGGCGAGCTCACTGACGTCGTCCTCGAGGTAGGCGTGGCCCATCCTGACGACGGGCACCATGCGACGCCGCACGAAAGCTCCAGCCGAAAACTTGTCGGCTTCGTTGTTGTAGTCGAAGACTTGAAGAAGCCACAGGCTTCGCGCGTGTAGCCGAGCGTAAAGTGAGTGCACCACGTCGTAGTAGTCACCGGTCAGGTCGTTGTCGTAGTTCATCACGACCCCTTTCAATCCGCTACTGACGACCCAATTGACGATCCGAATAAGCAGCTTCTCCTTGCCCACCGACGCCTGAGACTTAAGCAGCGTCGGTGTGCCGTCCCGGCGGCCCACTATGGCCAAGGCTTTAACGCGAGGCGTTCGACCTTGACGCCCAGTTGCGTTGGCAGCGCGAATCAGTCCAGCCAGGTGGCGCGCGGGTGGCCCTCGATCGACGTAAACGCCCGTTTCGTTCATCTGCAGGCAGCAGTACACGAAGGCGTCGCACACGCCCGACGTCGGGTATTCGAATGTTTCCGGCATAAAGCGGGAGTCGAAGGTGCACCAAAGCTCTCCGTGGGCGATCGGGCTGCGGGCTTTGCCTCGAGCGCTCCACTGGTCGGGCGGGCCGCCGGCGTCATCGGCGCCGAAGATTGCGTTCGAGATGGCTGCACCCAAGATGTACATCAGGAGCAGGGCGAGGCCCGAGATGATCACCACTGCGGGCACGAACACGGCCGTGTAGTTCGCCTTGTGCTTCGCCTCGAGTTGCGCGATCGAATCCCGGCGCTGCTGTTTCTCGTCAACATCAGCCTTTTGGATTTCGTCGCCGGCAGCGGCCATCATCTTCTTCCTTATCCGATGGCGCATGCACAACCTTGCGGAATCGGGCATTGACGACGAAAAAAAAAGAGAGAATAAACAGAAATTTCGAATAAGCAACAGGGTGCTAAAAATTTATAAGAAACCTATCTTGAAACAACCCGAAAATACTCGTCGTCTGAACAAACATCCAGCAGACAGCGTCCAGAAAAAAAGAAGAAAAGGAAAAGGGAAAAGTAAGCCTGAGTTCTCAGTCAATGGTGACGATAGTTAGTGCAACGAGTGATGTCTTTGATAATTGCACGTCCTCTGATTATGGCAGCCATTGCTATAGGCTAGAGTAGGACCTATTTATAAATAGAGGATGAGTAACTATGGCCAGACATTTTAATCAGAATTAAGCACTTACTTGCAAGCACCCATAGAAATCTGAGAAGCTTACGTGAGAAGGCTCTAGAAAAACAAACTGCATGTGAACTGTGCGTAGAACAATTTGCCGTGGGCGATAGAGGTACATATAAGGGCTTCATACTATTGCGTAGACAAACTTAGTTTGCGTAGAGGGAATGGCATCGCTATAATGCCGAAACGTGGGCAAACATTCAGAATGCCTGAAATGTGGGCGAAAATTGCAAAAATACCATTCAAGAGAAGGAGAGTGAATGCTTTGCTTTCTTTGTTTCGTGGGGCACCTGTGTCAACGAACAGGGTTCAGTGTGAGAACAGTGAGTAATACTCCAAAGCTAGGATTGGCTAGAGCTTCATCATAAAACAGCGCACACACACGAAGATGAAAAATAAAGAAATGTACGATGCGAGTGCTGACTATTAGCTGAAATTGTTATCCAATACAGCAACATACATCCGTGAAGATTATCAATCATGCAACATGGGAGTATCAAGGCTACAAACTAGTGACGGTATGCGAGAGTTTAGCAAGAATGTCACAGTCTTAGATAATAATTGATACCCTCTTGCTATGCCCCGCCACGGTGGTCTAGTGGCTAAGGTACTCGGCTGCTGACCCGCAGGTCGCGGGATCGAATCCCGGCTGCGGCAGCTGCATTTCCGATAGAAGCGGAAACGTTGTAGGCCCGTGTGCTCAGATTTGGGTGCACGTGAAAGAACCCCAGGTGGTGGAAATTTCCGGAGCCCTCCACTACAGCGTCTCTCATAATCATATGGTAGTTTTGGGACGTTAAACCCCACAAATCAATCAAATCAACCCTCTTGCTGATGGCACTCACACACAAAGGGGAACGGGCTAAGAACTGGGTGTTAGCGAATTTCATTGTAATTTATATGCACCGACCCATGCCGCCTGTGGACTCAAGTTTTTTCCACGGTATGCTTGGCGGGACCGGCAGTGAAGAGCGCAGAATCTTCCAGAAGGTTCTCATACACTCGGGCGAGGTTGGCGCTGGGCAGTGGTTCAACGTGTAATGAAGTGGTTACATAAAACTATAAAAAAAGAAGTGTGCGTGGCAACGTAGCTTGTAAAAAAATTATACACTAAAACGAGGCCAAAGAAAAATTTTAAAGTATACTACTGGGAACAAAAATCCGCCAATCTGCATCACTCTCGCATGCCTCACCACCAGAACAAGAATAAACAGTGTGGTCAATCCCCCTTGTGAGTATGAGCCAAGATATTTTAAGCGACAAAACAAAAACAAAAATGCCCGGCAAGCTGGTTCTCTACAGAATATTATACATCCATGTATTAATGAGAGGCGCACACACATTTGCGGCTAATCACTCTAGCATGGTGGAGAAGGGCAGATCAGCATCCATGCAGTTGTAGCCTTAAGGTACAAAAAAAAAAATTCATCCGTATTTCCAAGAAAGCAACGCTTCACTCCCTTTTCTTCCATCTAACAGAGAAAACAGGCCATTTATCCATTCTCCCTTTCATTCGTAACGACGGTGTCGTTTCGGCAAACGTTCAGGTACGATGCGGGGGCGCTGCCAGCTCGTAAAATTCACGCATTGCGAGGCGCCAGCTGGGAAAAATGTGTTTTTCCACACCAGCCGCTAAGGTTTTGAACAGCACTGGCTAACACTTCCAGTCTTATATACAGAAGAATAGTGGATGATTGCTGCCGTAGCTCTATTGGTAGATCATCAAGCGCTCTATGTAAAGGT